GATCTCGGCTCACTGCAACCTCCGACTCCCTGGTTCAAGCAATTCTTCTGCCTCAGTCTCCCAAGTAGCTGGGATTACAGGCACCCACCACCATGCCCAGCTAATTTTTGTATTTTTGGTAGAGACAGGGTTTCACCATGTTGGCCAGGATGATCTCGATCTCCTGACCTTATGATCTGCCCGCCTCCAACTCCCAAAGTGCTGGGATTACAGGTGTAAGCCATTGCACTGGGCCCAGATTTTATTTCTTGTTCATGTAATTGTCCAGCATGAGTGTTCTAGCCTAACTGGTGAGCCACCTTGAAGCAGAGACTCGGAGACCCAGATTTCTTTCATCATATGCATCTGCTAACCATGCAAGCCTTATAGAGGCTGTGGCATGGTGGAATTGCCTGGAACCAACTGGTAAAAGTGTAGAAAGAATGTGAGTTGAAGGAACACCTGCTTTCCCCAAGACTCCAGCCCATAAATGGCACAGATCACTTCTACTCACATTCCACTGGGGAGACTTTAGACTCATGACCACACCTAATGGCAAAGGAGCAGAAAGATGTAGTTCAGTTGTGTGTCCAGGTAAGGTGTATTTGGTAAGAAGTTTATTGTTTCCACGACAAACGTGAAGACCAAATGAATCTACTTCCTAAAATTATTTTGAATTGTTCCTCTTGTCTTTGTTCCCATAGCTATTTTCTTCATTCAGGCCACCATAACCTCCTGTTTAGATTTCTGCAATGATTACCTTAGCATTCTGATGCCTCCTGCATTAGCCACCTTCCAGTACATTCTCCAGGCCAGGCTACTGCAAGGTGGTTTCCTTACATTGGTTAGGCACCCTCCTTCAGGAAAGTTTTACTCCATTTTCTTTCTTCTCATTTCACCTCACATAACTGCCGATGTTCGTTATTTAAAAAATAAAATAAATGTATTGATTGCTTTCTGTGTGCTAGGGACTATCCCAACTGGTTTGCATATATACTACCATTTGATTCCCAACTCCTGCTCTGGAATCTTATGACATAGATTTTATTACTGCCATTCCCATTTCACAAAGGTGAAACATAAGTTCAGAGAGGTTAAGTAATTTTCCCAAGCTCACAGGGCTGTTAGGTGGAAATAGGATTCCAGCTCAGATGGTCTGACTTTCAAGAATCAGTTTTGCAACATCACTTTTAACTCTAGCCCACGTTAGATAGATATTCTTGATGTTAAAGATGTTTCACCCGTACTTTTTGTTCTCAAATTTGATGAGTGCCCATCCCATAATAGGTACTCAATAAAGAGCTGTTTAGTGAATTAATGAATATAAGAATGAATGAATAAAAATTTCTAATTGCTGTTTATTCCATTTTAAATGATCTCATCATAGAACCTACAAGAATCTTTCAAATTTGGTTCATTTTCACAAGAATGTGTTCCATTGTCATGAACTCTACCATTTTTCTCAACTTGCCATTCCTGGAACCAATGACAGAGAGAGTTCAAATAAAGTAGATTTTCTCAACAGTAGCACTATTCACATTTTGCACCAGATAATTATTTGTTGTGGGCAACTGCCCTGTGCACTGTAGGATGTTTAATGACATCTCTAGCCTCTTCTCACCGTCTGCCGGGAGCACTCCTTCCCTGGTGTAACATTAACAAAATGTCTCCAAAACCTACCAGATGTTCCCTGCAGCCAAAAATCAACGTGGTGGAGAACCATCAGGATAAAGAATGCACAAGGCTTGTTGTAATTCATCCTAACCACCAAGGGAAAGCACAATTCAAAATGCATCTTCTGGTAGCAGCTGTAGCTAAAGAGCAGAATTTTGTGATGGGAAAACTGTTCCATGCCCTCCTTGCATGTGATGGGAAAGCTGTCTCACTCGACCTTGCATTACCTAGCTTTGGTTCAGGCCCTCACTATTTTTCACCAGTATAGTGAGCACCCTGTGCTCAGCACAGGGCTTGACACATCACAGGAAGATAGGCAACAGTGACTCCCCTGTGCACTTCGATCAGCCCCTCTGCCCTCAATCTTGCACCTCTGAGCCACCCTCTGTTACCGACAATTTTGGAAATGCAAACCGAATTATGTCATCACTACTGTCTTCCCTGTAGCCATGCTTTAGAGGTCTCCCTTTGTTCCAACACTAAATTCCAACTCCCTTGTATCATATGAGAAGTCCATCATTGCCTGCCTTCCTTTTACCTGTCCAGCTTCATTTCTTGGCATGACCTAATCACACCTACTGGTTCCTCGATGAACAGGTCAGATCATCTCATGCAGCTTACAACTCACTTCTCCCAGAAAAACTCCCTTGATTATCAATTAGCACTGCCACTCCTGGTGCCCTCAGAGCAGCCTCTAGGTAATCCTTTCAGAGCACGTATCTCCTATATAGCATAGCGATCAAAAGCAAAGACCATGGAGGCAGATTTTCTGGGTTTGCATCCCAACTATGTCACCCACTAGCTGCATGACCTCAACCAAGTGACTTAACCTATCTGTGCCTAAGTTTCCTGATCAGAAAAATGGGATAATAATAGTATCTGTTTCACAGAGTTGTGCTGAAGATAATGTGAGCTAATCTATGTAAAGCACTAAGAAACATGCCTGGCACAGAATAAACTATAGGAAAGCATTACCTATATGTGCATTATTTTTTTTCTTTCTCCCATAATTCATTGTGAACTTTTCACACACAAAGTTTTGTCTTTTATCTCAGTTCTCTAGACATTGAGCCAAGGACCTGGCACACAGTAGAATTTGAGAAACTTCTGTAGAATTAATGCAGTGAGCAGACTTGGGTTGTGGAAATCACAGTTTTGAACTAAAGGTAACTATTATTAATTGTTCACCATGCTTTCATTTCTCTCTAGGATATTTAGAAAGAAAAAGAGAATCCGTCATCCCTTTTCTTCTCTCTTCAACCTCAGTACCTCCAAACCTTGGCTGCATGGAAGTATCTTTTGTGACGTCGACTCTTCTCCAAGTGAGGACAACTGGTTGGAGGGGATCAAGAGGTTGGACACAGACCATTGCAATGGAAATGGTGAGTTTTGAGTCTTCTTTTCCATAATAAAAATTTTATCTCCAAGTGGGCAGTGGTAACCCTGTGGTCCTCGACCAATGTCAGTTCCAGAGATGACAGTCATTTTGATGGAGAGATGGGCCATATTTTTAAAATTCTCTCTATATTACATGTGTGATCAAAACACATATGTGACTATGTCATGCAAAATAGCCTAATGTAAATGTGTAAATTATTAAGTTGATAATGCTGGGAAAATATTTGCACATTTCCACCGTATCTTTTCTGTAAGGAATATGGGTGGAGAAAGGATACTGGAGAGTCAGATTTAGAAGACCTATATTGGAAAAAAATGTACTGGAGTCAGGGTTCAAGTCCCAGTATGAGTACACTTGGATAGTACTTAACTTTGTTGAGTTTAAATTTCTTCATTTTTAAAACCATATATATGGTTTATATATATATATGTGTGTGCATACATATAACTTGAAATATAATACATATTAGATATATATGCATATTGTGTAATAACAATATTCATACAAGTAAGTATGTGTATATACATGTATATAAACACAGTGATGGGAACTCAAAGCATCTATTTTAAAATTTACTTTTCTTTTTCAACTTTTATTTTAGAATCAGAAGGTACGTGTGCAGGTTTGTTACCTGGGTATATTATCTGATGCTGAGGTTTGGGTTATGAATGATCCCATCACCCAGTTACTAAGCATAGTACCCAATAGTTAGTTGTTCAACCCTTGCCCCCTTTTCTCTCTCCCCCATCTAGTAGCCCTGGTGTCTACTGTTGCCATCTTTATATTCATGAATATCCGAAGTTTAGCTCCCACTTATAGGTGAGAACATAGGGCATTTGGTTTTCTCTTCCTGTGTTAATTTGCTTAAGATAATGGCTTCTAGCTTCAGCCATGTTGCTGCAAAGGACATGATTTCATTATTTTTAATGGCTGTGTAATATTACATGGTGTATATGTACCATTTTCTTCATTCAATTCCATGTTGATGGGAACCTAGGTTGATTCTTTGTCTTTGTTATTGTGAATAGTGCTGCCATGAAAATGTGAGTGTGTGTGTCATTTTGGTATAATGATTTGTTTCCTCTTGGATATATACCAAGTAATGGGATTGCTAGTGAAATGGTGGTTCTAAAGTCTTTGAGGAATTTCCAAACTGCTTTCCACAGTGGTTGAACTAATTTACATTCCCACCAGCAGTGTGTAAACATTCCCTTTTCTCTGAAGCATCACCAACATCTGCTGTTTTCTGATTTTTAAATAATAGCCATTCTGACTGGTGTGAGATAGTGTCTCATTATGCTTTTTATTTGCATTTCTATGATGATTAGTGACGATGAACATTATTTCACATGTTTGTTGCTGCATGTATGTCTTCTTTTGAGAAGTATCTGCTCATATCTTTTGCCCATTTTAAATGGGGTTATTTGGTTTTCGCTTATTCAATTGTTTAAATTCCTAATAGGTTCTAGATATTAGACCTCTGTTAGATTCACAGTTTGTGAATATTTCTACCATTCTGTAGGTTGTCTGTTTACTCTTGTTGATAGTTTCTTTTGTTGTGCAGAAGCTCTTTAGTTTAATTAAGTTCTGTTTGTCAATTTTTGTTTTTGTTGAAATTGCTTTTGAGGACTTAGTTATAAATTATTTTCCAAGGCTGATGTCCAGAATGGTGTTGCCTAGTTTTTCTTCTAGGATTCTGCTAGTTTAAGGGAGGTCTTACATTTAAATCTTTAATCCTTCTTGAGTTTTTATATATGGAGAAAGGTAGAGGTTGTTTTATTCTTCTGCATATAGCTATCCCAGCACCATTTATTTAATAGAGAGTCCTTTCCCCATTGCTTATTTTTTGTCGACTTTGTCAAAGATTAGGTGGCTCTGTGAGTGAAGCTTTATTTCTGGGTTCTCTATTCCATTCCACTGGTTTATGTATTTGTTTTTGTATCAGTACCATGCTGTTTTGGTTACTATTGCCTTATAGTATAGTTTGAAGTTGGGTAATATGATGCCTCTGGCATTGTTCTTTTTGCTTAGAATTGCTTTGACTATTCAAACTCTTTTTTGGTACCAAGTTAAATTTAAATTGAAAAATAATATTGATAGTTTGATAGGAATAGGGATAGTTTGATAGGAGTAGTTTGAATTTGTAGATTGCTTTAGGCAATGTGGCCATTTTTGTGATATTGATTCTTCCAATCCATGAGCATGAAATATTTTTCCATTTATTTGTGTCACCTGTAATTTTTTTTTTTTTTTTTGAAACAGAGTCTCGCTCTGTCACCCAGGCTGGAGTGCAGTGGTGCAATCTCGGCTCTTTGCCTCCTGGTTTCATGCTATTCTCCTGCCTCAGCCTTCCAAGTAGCTGGGACTATAGGTGCCCGCCACCATGCCTGGCTAATTTTTCTGATTTGTAGTAGAGACAGGTTTTCACTGTGTTAGCCAGGATGGTCTCGATCTCCTGATCTCGTGATCTGCCCGCCTCGGCCTCCCAACATGCTGGGATTACAGGGGTGAGCCACCACGCCTGGCTCTGTCACTTATAATTTCTTTAAGCAGTTCTTTGTGGTTCTTCTTGTAGAGATCTTTTATGTCCTTGGTTAGAGGTATTCCCAGGTATATTATTTTTTGTGGCAATTGTAAATGAGATTGCATTCTTGATTTGACTCTCAGCTTGAACGTTGTCAGTGTACACAATGTTATTAGGATACAGAATTGACTAGTGATTTCTGTACATTGATTCTCAAAGCATATTATAAAGATGAAATGAGACAATGACTATCAGCCATAGTTCAATGTCTGGTGCTCAGTAAGTTGTAGTTATAATTATTTTTATTACTAGAATGGAAACAACAGATATTTATTGGGCACTTACCATTTTCCAGGTACTACAGTAGGTCAGGGGATACAAAGATGAAATAAACAATGTAACCCCTGTCTTCTTGGGCCTTCTGGTTTACTGGAACAGGGGCTGGGGTTCAGCTCTTTGTTAAACAATTGCAGAAACATAACATAATGATTGTGGTAGGTGCCATGAAAAAAAGTTGTATGACACAATGGGGAATTTGACTCATTTGGAAACTTAAGAAAAGTTTCCCTGTGGAACTGGCATTGGAGATGAGTGCTAGACAATGAGGGGGATTTTGCTGGGCAAAGGGGAAAGGCAAGAACATCCTGTGCTGAGGACATGAAAACGTCTGGAGTGTGAGTTGCCTAGTGAGTAGACATGCTTGGTGAGAGAATATAGCATGCATGGTTTGAAACACAATGAGTTTAAGTTTCTTTGGGACATCCAAGAGACAATATCAAGATGGTGTTGATATTTGTAATCTGGAGCTCAGAGGAGGAATCTGAGTTAAAGTTATACATCTGGAAGTCATATCAGTATAGGTAGTCATTGAGGTCTTGCAGTGGACGAGATGGATTAGGAAGAGGGTATACAGTTTTCAAAAAAGAGAGCCTAAAGTGGAATGTTGTGAACTCAAACATTGAATAAGTGAATAGGACAGGATTAACCTGCAAAAGAGATTAGGAAGGAAGCGTTCACAGAGGTGAGTGGAAAACCAAGAGAGTGCTGTGTAATGAAATTTCTAGGATAATAGTGGTATAAAAGGTGGGAGTACTTAGCAATGGCAAATCATGCTAGAAAGGTAAATAGGATGAGGACTGAGTGTTCAACAGATTCATTGGCCTGGGGGTGACTGTTAGTGGAGTGAAGATAGCAGAAGAGAACCATGAGTACAAAGAAGAGAGAGTGAGAGGTAAGGAAATAAAGGAATGGCCTTTAGAAGACCCTGATGTCTGCCGGGAAGGGAAAGGGAGAGGTGAAGGTGGACGAAGGCAAATGAGAAGATTGAGTGAGTCCCTGCTGCCTCTCCTTTCTCTTTCTCCTCCTCCTATCAACAATGGGGGAAATTTGAGCATGTGTCATGATATGGGTTGGCTGTGTCCCCACCCAAATCTCATGTTGAATTCCCATGTGTTGTGGGAGGGACCTGGTGGGAGGTAATTGAATCATGGGGGCAGGTCTTTCCCGTGCTGTTTTCGTGATAGTGAATAAGTCTCATGAGACCTGATGATTCTATAAGGGGAAGTTTCCCCGCATGAGCTCTCTCTTTCCCTGCTGCCATCCATGTAGGACGTGATTTGATCCTCCTTGCCTTCTGCCATGACTGTGAGGCTTTCCTAGTCAGGTGGAACTGTAAGTCCATTAAACCCCTTTCTTTTGTAAATTGCCCAGTCTTGGGTATGTCTTTATCACCAGCCTGAAAATGGACTAATAGATGTCACTTCATCAATAAATGGGCCTGAAATAAAAGTGAGTTTGCAGGTCCACTTTGATATATTATATACTCATTTAACAGTCATTCTTTCATTTATTCATTCACTCATCAAACTCACTGAGTATGTGCTATGTGCCAGCTATTGTACTAAACACAACACTCTTCCAAGCTAAGTAAGACATTACTTTGAGAAATTCCTGGTTTAAAACAGGTAAATAAATACATTTGCAAATAATTTGAGTATAATGCCTGAAACAGCATAAGAGATTTAAGAGTAGTATGTGGAGACAATGTCAGAGGTTTATCCAGGGGAGGCAGTGTTAGCTGTACCTAGAGGTGGCTGGGAGGGCTTGAGAGGGAGACAACATTTTAGTGGGTTTTGTTTTTTTTTTAAACATAGTCTCGCTCTGTCACCAGGCTGGAATGCAGTGGCATGATCTAGGCTCACTGCAACCTCTGACTCCCTGGTTCAAGCAATTCTTCTACCTCAGCCTCCCGTTTAGCCGGAATTATAGGCAAATGCCACCACACCCAGCTAATTTTTGTATTTTTAGTAGAGACGGGGTTTCACCATGTGGGCCAGGAAGGTCTCGATCTCCTGACCTCGTGATCCACCTGCCTCAGCCTCCCAAAGTGCTTGAATTTACAGGTGTGAGCCACTGCACCTGGCTCTGAGTGGGTCTTGAAGGAGGAGTGGGATGGCTAG